CCAACGACGGGTCAGGTAAGCTGGTTCGTCTTCGGTGCTTCGGGCAAACCATGGATCAGGGATGGACTCTCTCTTTCCATTCGTCGATTGTGTGGGACCGAGTTGTCCAGCCTATAACGGTCAGCCATCATCGCATGGTTGACGACTCGGCCGAAGACAGCTGACTGTCGGCAGTCGGGTAGAGATGCCTATCTCGATCTAGGTAGCAAACACGGGTAACGAGGTCTAGACCATAGGGCCCCACTTTCCCCGTAATCGTCTCACCTGTGGGACCACGTCCGCCAGCTAATAATAACATTTCCCCGCCGCGTTGTTGCTGGCTTGGACGTGACAGATGATCCGGAACACTGGTGAAGGGATGCCTCCCACAACAAGACAGCAAACACGGAATAGACCTCGTTCGATAAATTTATATTCAATAAGATTTACACTCAAAACATTCGTCTAATCTTATTAGATGCGCTTATCAAAGATCATAACCTTATATTTATAGTTTATCATTACAAAAAAAAAGTGCATCTACTTAAGTAAATAACAAAAGACTAATAATACTTAAAAATCCATTTTATTTATAACAAAAGCAAAAAAACAGAAAAGTCAGCGTTTCCTAAAAACAAATAAATATATGCTATTCACAAAAATCCAAGTTTTCATTATATTTTCAGAATTTTTAAGAATTTACAAATGATATATACACATTCATATATTATTAATTAGTTTTACTTAATGGCACTAATGACCTTATGTTAATAAGTACTTTTACATATATATATTCTTCTACCTTTCAATTTTAAAATATAACATCTTTGCCAAGACAAGTGAAAAACACAAATATAAGTAACTCGGGAGGGTTTGTATGTAATTTTGCTTACTCGGCTATATCACATCGACCCGCAGTGTAATAGGGCTTCCCATCCCACCCGTGGCCTCGAGATCCTCTTCGGCTGCGTTGTCCGTGGTCGCGAGGAGACCACCAAGCTCGAGGGAGATCATCGATACAAGAAGCTCTCGTCAATGACGCTCGGTGGTTCCGGTGGATCTGGCGTCGTCGGTGAGCAATCTCTCCCCCTCCCCTCGTTCTCCATCCCGTTTCTTTTGACCTAGGTTGGGGGCTTCAGGTCGATCTATGCATAAATCTTTCGCTGTATGCTGATTCACAAGGGGTTTCGCTACCCCGAGCCTAAAAGTTCGTTCTCGATTGTTATTATTTGGGAGGATTGAATTGATTCTGATTGATACCACGGAGGGATAAGAATTCGGTCGATATCCGTTAATAGGACATCATCTGTGATGTGTATCGGGCTTTGGACAATCTTTGTTCTCTTAACAGCGATTCTGTCGGTAGTGTGACTTGATGCTACTGATTGGATAGCCTGTGATACTCTTGTCATGGACTTTCAAGAGGATCGCTAAGATCGCTATGCCATGAGAATTGATAAAGATGATACAAGCGTTATTATTAGGAGGGATCATCGTCTTTGATGTTCCATCTATTGATATCAGAATTCCTCAATGATTCCTATTGAAGATATCTCCTTGTCAACCTTAATGCAGTTAACTATATTTTTTTATGGCAACAAGTAAATTCCGATCATCTTTTCTCAAATGGAGAATTGGCTGCTCAGAGAAAGAGGCCTGAAGTGGTGACATCAAGATTTACTAAAGATCTCTTGTTAAGTTTGTTACCAGACCATAATTTGATAAGATCCAATTGAAATCTGTGATTAGAGGATGAAAGCATCAGAAATTCTTTCTTTGCACGTTGCAAAGCTGATATGAAGCGACCACATGAGACCTGTTAAGCTAGCTTTGCAACGGTCATGTTTAGGCTCATATATTTGTACACACTTGGGATCTCTTCTAAAAATTTCCCTTGAGCGTCTGTCCTTGTTTTTGTAGGTTCACATGGAACTAAGTTCATGAACTGATTTTAGAATTTGTATCCATCAGGAAAAGCACTTTATCTTGTTTTCTTTATCTTCAAGCTTTTATAACTTTTGAACTGATACCCTCTTGCTTTGCCACCTACCCATGTCTTTTTTAAAGTACCGTATACATATATATATATATATATATATATATATATATATATATATATATATATATATATATATATATATATGTTTAACACTGAATTCTGCATCTCTGAACTTTAGTGAGAGAGCGATGAATGAAACCAAACTTAAACAAGGGTCCTAAATCTAGGGTTAAATGATCACAGGTGTCCTCTTTGAAGAACCAGAAGCCAGAATTTCTACAAGATAATACAAGAAAGTTACATGTATTTTTATCATTTTATCTCAAACAATATAAAACCTGTATGTTGCACGAAGAAATGAGTTTGATATATGCATCCATTGTGACCTGCAAATGTGCAAACATGCATGACCATACATCTATACATGATGTAGTGTAAGTGATGGGCTTGTTCAATACCTTTTTTCTAGCTTAAGGACACGATTAGTTGCACATATCATGGATATTTGAAGGAGCCAAGCCACAACAGTTTTTTTTATGCCTAGGCGCTTTCCTATGGATTCGTGGCTATTGTGCATAATTAGAATGGAAGTCCCTGCTGCATCAGAAGTTATTTGTGAAGCCGAAAATATAGCAAGAGGGCCTCTAGATGTTATCTTTTTAATGAGCACCTGATTGAAAATGGATGATGATCTCAAAGAAGATTGTATCGATCAAGATAATCTTTTAAATACAGTTTTCAGCAAGGAAATGCTGTAAAGCAATGGATTGTTTCACTGAGAAATATCTCATGATTTCAGTCTGGTAGTAGGAGGTTGGGTTTTGGAGTTGCAGCTTTTCTAGGTTGCCATTGATCTCATAATTTGATCTAATTGTGGTGAGATTTCCCTGATCCGACAAAGATGTTGCTGGGATTGTGGCAGGTTTTCAAAGACATCTAAATCCAACCTGCCTCTACCCTCTGCTTTAAGTTCATGTAGCTTGAGATCCCCAAGTCTAATATTACTTGGTATCTTAGTTTCCTAGTATTCGCTTCTGTTTCCTTTCCTTCCGCTTGCTTGCTCTACCCCACCTCCCGTTCCTCTCTTTCTTATCCCTCATCTCCTTCCAGCCCCAGCTCCTCGTTTTTCCTTCCCGTCATTTGATATGTATATTCTCAGCCACTCTGAGAAAATAACATCCTAATAACCTAACTTTTTTTTCAATTTTGTTTACATGATTAGTACTTGTTATTTATTCAGTTTATCTTATTCTCAGTCATTCTATTTCGGGTGGAACTGGTGTTTGTGTCATCATTTCCTTAGAATTCCTCAAAAATGCAACGGTATTAGAACACCTGCTTGGAGACTTATTGATGTTACCAATATTTACATTTCAGCATTTTGTTGTTACACGTTCTCTTCATTTAAAATAAATTCATTATTCAGTCTGATTAGTTATCCATCATAGGATACTATATCTTCATTGATGTTGCATGCAGTTCCTAGGAACTTCAGATTGCTTGAAGAGCTCGAACGAGGAGAGAAGGGCATAGGAGATGGGACTGTAAGCTATGGCATGGATGATGGAGATGACATTTACATGCGCTCATGGACCGGAACAATAATCGGTCCCCATAATGTGAGATACTCATTTTTTAACTTTCATACCTTGCCATATTCTAACTATTCGCATCTCTTGCACCGGTACTCCTTTACAGACGGTCCATGAGGGTCGCATCTATCAGCTGAAGTTGTTCTGTGACAAGGACTATCCAGATAAACCACCCAGCGTCCGATTCCACTCGCGCATCAACATGACCTGTGTCGATCCTGATTCAGGAGTGGTAAATCCTACAATTCAAAATGAATCGACAGTTCTAGATGTGTTTGGTGAAGTTATTTCTCTCGGAAACTGATGTTTGATTTCCATAAATCCAGGTAGATCCAAAAAAATTTTTAGTTCTGGGGAACTGGCAACGTGATTACACAATGGAGTATATTCTAACACATCTTAAGAAAGAAATGGCGGCATCATATAATCGTAAATTAGTTCAGCCTCCGGAGGGCACTTACTTCTAAGACAATGAATGGTTCTCACCATTGCATATTTGGATCGAAATCAACTGGCATGTATCGTTTAATCAATGAACATAAGTTTGTTTATTTCATGCTCAGTATTGTAGTTTGCCTGGTTATATATTTCCGTGTAGACTGTGCACTAATGCTAAAGTGCAACCTTATATGTATTGCCCAAGTCTCTTGTTTGCGCACCTGCTTGTGGTATTGTCATCCTTGTCTTGTTTTTACTCGGCCTCTGTGGCCATCATAATATATGTGATAACAATTAATCAAATGTCATAATAAAATAAGTATGAAATTTTAAAATATGATACGTATTGGATTGCTTGGGATAGAATTATTGAATGATATATTGATGATTAAAAAATATTTATTTTGATTTTTAAGAAATTCATACGCCTCTGCATCTGCTGTTTAATCTGTCATTTTACGTATGAGATGTTGCTTGACGATGGTATTTGATCCTTTTCGCTCTTCATTTGCTTGGAGCTAATTAATTAATAGCTGGTAGTCCAAGAAAGAAGAAAGATAAGCTATATTCCACGACATCCTATGATTGCCGAGCCGCTTCATTCATGATGGAGACGGCCGACTGTGGAGGATCATGAATCGATTTAGGGCATATTGATCGATCGATCGATCGATTGCCATGAGAGGAGGATGGTGGTTGGGTGGATGACGCCCTCTCGCATGTGCATGAATCGATTAGAGGTAGCTGCTCCGCTTATTCCGGCTCCCGAACATGGGAGATGGTGGTCGAGAAGGGTAACAGTGGGAAAGCAAGTTCATCCTCGTTTCATGCCATGTCTTCATACTGTTGTCCGTGGTGTTATGACTGTTAGAGATAAAGAGGAAAAGGAAGAGGAGACCACTCACATGGCTATATATGTTGTTGAGCACATGGAGCGATCAAGCGGTGACAGCAAGAACCTGCAGCATATCTGGAGAATGCAATCACCTTGTTATCCTGTCTTCCATCATTTTTTTACTGAGCTGCTGCTATCTGTTACCTCGACCAACAACGATCGAGGATGGCTGAGCCCAACCCTGCGTGCTGCATGCAGACAGGGTTGTAGCTCCATGGAGCCAAGTTTTCCAGCTTCCATGAATCAGGGGGCTGCTCCAAAACCAAGTGCTGCCTGTCATTCTCCCGAAGGAAAACTCATTCAAGACAGTAATCTCCATAACGAACGTTGGTCCAAGACATGAAGAAGGTAGATCGGCGTCTGCTGCACATGGGTGGGCGGGGTATCTGTTGGAGCATCGTCGCTTGCTCTGCTCCACTCCACGTTTTGCTATCAGCCGAAAGGATCTCTCGTCGTCCATGCACGTCAGGGCCGCGCAGGGTCTTGGCACATGCTGCTGTGCCTCCTTCGCGCCGCGCCGCGCCGTGCACACGTATTACCATCCTGCCACCTTCTTCTTCCTCTTCTCGGTCGGACAAAGCAGGGAATTAAGAAGAATACGCTGCAGTAAAGAGATCAATGTTTCCTAATTTAAGTAAACGTCAACGTGATGGTGTCCGAGATGAGAGGATATACAGATTGACGTCCTGCTTTACGTTGACTCTGTCTGTAAATGACCGCTCCTCTCTCTCTTAAGATCTGTTCTTCTCATTGACAGCACACTCCTCTTTACCTTTCGTTTCCTTTGCACGCGGAGATAATAGTATAAACAGTAGGTGTTAGTGTAAACAACTTTATGTCATGGCCTCGGGGCCAATACGGCTTGGTTCGGGTTCGAATGGGCGGAGATCTTGTACGGCGTTCCTCGTGCCTGCTGAGGAGGTCAGGTGCGGTGTCCGATCGGGACGATGTAGCCGTCTCTTCCGGGCAGGAACTCCTCGCCTGCGCGTCCGAAGGGGACCTTCGACCTCGCACCTGCACGAAGGTCGGGCCGAGGCGCTCGGCCCGACCCCTCCGACGATCAAGTTAACAGATGCGGAGAGAGTTTCAGATGAAGAAGTATTTTTGAGTGCCTCCTCCCTTTTTCTAATGAACGAGAGGGTATTTATAGGGGAGCATACTGCTTCCTGAGCTGCCCGCTTGCAGAGGACAGGTAGCGTATGACTTTGTGTTGGCGTGGCGTGAAGAACCGAACTGCCGCAGGGCATGAGCGTGCCTCGGTCGTCGTTCTCCTCTACCTCGACCAAGCGTGTTGGGTCATAACGATGAAATCGTTGTCTGAGAGCGGGTGATGTCAACACACATCGTGTCGATATTATTGTCCTCTTTGGGTAGAGTGTCCTCCAGGTGCGGCTGACATAATGGCGCGTCATGTCGCCATTATTACACTCATCAGTATGGGCATTATGTAGCTCATCACTTTTAAAACCCGCTCTCGCCACTTCGCTCTCCCCCTCCCTCCCCGATTCTCACCTCACCAGCCGAGAGATACTGAGAGATGGGAGGAATGGGGAAATGCAGCAAGATCCGCCACATAGTGTGGCTGCGGCAGATGCTGCGGCGGTGGAGGCTGAGGGCCGCGGCGGTGGAGGCGTTAAGGAGGGGGCGCGGAGGGGCGGGGGCGGCCTCGGACGTGCCAGCAGGGCACGTGGCGGTGTGCGTGGGGAGCAGCTCCCGGCGGTTCGTGGTGCGGGCGTCGCAGCTCAACCATCCCGCGTTCCGGGAGCTGCTCCGCCAGGCCGAGGAGGAGTTCGGCTTCTCCTCCCGCCCCGGCCCCCTCTCCCTCCCCTGCGACGAGGCCCTCTTCGAGGACGTCCTCCGCTTCGTCTCTTCCTCATCCTCGAGGTTCACCCACAACACTCTCGAGCACCTCACGAAGCTCCCCCACGACATCCCTTCATCCTCCTGTTGCTGCGATGTCGGCCGGTGGCTGCACGCTGCCGATTCGATGCCGCTTCTGCACGCCCACTGCATCGCCGACAAGCCCGTCTGATGAACTAAAACGCACGCACGGTGTGTTTGCAGCAGGAGGAGGAGCGACGAAGTGATCATGATCGAGAAGAGAGATGGCGAAGAAGCGGTTCAGCAGCCGAGTCATCCCTTTGTCGAATCGGATCACCGAGTTAGCGAGTATTCATTAACACGCCGAGTCGTCCGAGTCGTTCTTTCCGCACAAACTCAGAAGGGCTGAAGCATTCTTCATTCATTCTGTCTTCCCTCTCTTTCTTTGTCTTGTAGATATTATTGTGATTAATCATTATCATGCCACTCAAGTGGACTCTCATTATTATAAATATATATATATATATATATATAAAATAAGAATTATATATGGCATTTATATTGAATAGGCGTATCATATTAATGGGTGGCGATGGCATGAAAGGTGATGCATGTGAGGGACATGTCATGTGCATGTCGAGGACAATGTGTCCAAACAAGCTTGATTTATTATACTTGATTTAGTATAATAAAAGCCTTTTTATTATACTTGAATTATTTATTCTCAAACAAGCTTGATTTTTCAAGCAACTGGTTTAAATTATGAAATCCAAAAATACTTATTATTAACCATGGTAAATTCATATTAGCATTTAACACTAGATTTTGATCTCCAGAAATTATTGGGTCTTTGCTATAAATATACACATAGAGAGAGAGAGAGAGAGAGAGAGAGAGAGAGAGAGAGAGAGAGATACATTAATTAACAGAGAAGCAGCTTTTCCTGTTTCTCTTCGGCAAATTAGAACTCAACAGTGAAAGAGGGTGGGAAGAACACGCCCTGCACTGTACACACTAATCCTTCCCAGCTAATCTAACATGGGAATTCACGTGAAGAAGATGATGGAGGAGAGGTGGTGTTGGACTTCAGGTGAGGGCGGAGGTGAGGGAGCGGAAGGCCACCTCGTCGCAGGGGATGGTGAGGCCCATATGATGGTGGAAGCCGAACTCGTCCTCGGCCTGGCGGAGGAGGCTCTGGAACTCGGGGCGGGCCAGGTAGGAGATGGGCACGATGAAGCGGCTCCGGTTGTCGCCGACGTAGACGACGAAGTGGCCCCTGGGCACGTCCACGGGCAGCCCTTCGTCCTCCTCCTCCTTCTTGCCCTCCCTCCCTAAGCTCGAACACCGCTTCAGTATCTGCTTCAGCACCGCAGTCTGGCCCACCTTGTTCTGCTTCTTCACCGCCATGTTCTCTTCCTTGCTTTCTTGTCTGCGTGCGTTCGAGAGACGAGGAGCAGCAGCAGGAGAAGGAGAGGAAGTGTGGTTGAGCTGTGGGAATTGTAGAGTGGCGGTAAGGTGGGGATGCTATTTATGCCAGCAGCGAGACTCTGCGAGAAGACATGCGGGGCCGATGCGGCTCGTGGCTCTGCTGACCTCGCCATGGACAGCCATGGCCCGCCCTTCACCTTTAAATCCAAAAAGGAAAGTGATACCCGAAAAATCCGACATCGAGATCCATGTCTAGTCAATCTTACATCTCAAGACGCATTGGATCATGTCTAGATTCTCCTGCCTAAGCAATCCTGTAAAGGTTGAGCACAGAACTTCCCACTAGTTGGCTTCTCTGCATCTGCGCATGCAGGTGATCATAGTTCTCACGAAGAAACATGCTCGACAACTTACATTTCAGCTCGCAACTGTTCCTGACAGGACCCTACAATGACTGCTGAGGCCACTGCTCCTCTCCATTTGAACGGTCCATTTGCAGCATAGGACACGATCTCTTGAGCTTCTCAAGACCAACAAGTCCTTCTGCCATGATGTTTGGTTTGGTATCATCATGGCTTCCGCATGCAGAAGAAACCATGTGGTGTCTTGTCCCACTGTCTGCTCTTGAATGCTATTTAGCGGCCAGACTCATCTGCTATGCTTTATGCAAGATGAGGAACACTTCCTGCTTTGCTCCACTTGCTCAAACTTTTTATCTGCTGCAGTAGTACTGAGCCAAGCATCTATGTCATCATATCACCACCCAAATAAACCTTATATTCGCAGAAGTGATAGTTTACGTGATCAATCAGTCACCCAAGGAATGCAGAATAGCCATGACCTGGAGATGTATCAGGTAATTGTGATGATGGTGACCACACATTTCTGCAATGCACATGAGTGCCATGTTACTATTGCTCCTAGTTTCGTAACCAGGTACTGAGGATGGTCCCACAAAGATCATAGCAATCCAACTTCTTATCTTTCCACAAAACGCCTTAGATTCTCGTGGACCCATCAAGATCATTGTTATTTACCAGGAAGGAAGTAAATGATGATTGCAAGTACAGGAGAGCATTTCCACATGGCCTGCCGCCTCCCCGTCATCCCTCTGGCAAGCACAAGTTGCTAAGCTGTTTTCATCTTCTGCAGTTTCATGCGTAAATGGCATTTACAGGTTTGCAGACATGCCGTCGATTCAGCTGCCTCCAATGGAATCAACCATCCATCTCCAGCCCTCGGTCTTCTCCCAGTGGCGAAAGATGTGAGGTTTGATCCAGACACATCCGACTCCGGATTCGTTGAACTTGACATCGAACAGCTGAGGAACACCACCAACAACACAACATGATGTCTGGGCACATATCAAGCAACAGCACATGAACCCATGTCCTCTCCTTCACGTACATCCTACAGTTCACATGCTTAGACTACGCAACAGGTAAGGAAGTGGGAGAAACTCCTACGAGGATCACTCATCGGAAGCAGATCATGAGGCTTTCATTGATCACTCGCAGGTCATCGGGCTCCATGCAAGGAAGAAGCTCCTGACTGCTCGACATGTTGCGAGATGGATTTGAGAGGTACAGCAAGAACACATTTCATTAGTTATAGTCGATTCGAAAGGATATGAAGCATATGGAGAGGTAAGATAACCGACTAAAACTAGTCATCGGGCTACATAATTCCGGCCTTCCCAAACCATCTTTGAATGCACTGATGGTGTTCTTGTTTGTATTATTCTCATTCATGTTTAAGAAGCTGGGCTGTGGTTGCTTCCAGTGAGGTTGTAGGCTTCTTTGGATCAGGCCACGAGCCTGTATGCCAGAAGAGGAGGAGGAGGAGGAGAAGGCTACATGTATGCTATTATTCATCTAAATTTAGGTATTTTTGAATTAGTGGGATAAGTTCGATAAGGTTAATATTTTAGTATGATACATGAAATATTTTAGTATGCATATCATTATATTTATATTTTAGTACTTTCCAGTTACTGCAACATCAAGGTATACACAGGGATAACCATATCATCCTCTGCGTGCTGCAGCTTCTGAAAACCTTATCCTGACTCCCTGAGAGGCACAGTAACTTCACCCCCTCTTTGATTCACGCCTGCCTTGTTATCAGGTTAACTGTGTTGCCTCGAGAAGGAGATTCTGCTGCACGGTTCACGTGCACTGCAGTCCGTCATTACTCCTCCTTGCTCCAAGTCCCCAGCCTCCAAAAGCAGTGTCAATGAGAATGCTGCCGCTGCTGAGGGAGAGAGCTTTGGGAGCTGAGACTGGTCAGTGGTGTGCAACAACCCATGCAGCTAAAGGACAAGCCTGGAGGTCATGTACGCTGCTGAATCCTTTCTTTCCCACTTAACCTTCTTAATTTAGGGAAGCAGAAGTTAGTCGATTTAAGGAGATGAACAGAGTCGACAGAACAGAAGATGTACGTAGCTGGTTTGTCTACATCTGTACGAGCTATTCTTCCACTGGCACAAGGATGATGAGTCAAAGTAACGAGAACGAACACCATTTGAAGACAATTCAGCTGAGACAAGAAGAAATACTAATCGAGTGTTAATTTTAGTCGAATCAATACGGCGGAGGGTCTCGGCTGCCGTCCCATCCATGAGCATCGGCCGGCACCTGCACGTTGTTGAGTAGGTTTGGCGGCAGGCTGTGGAAGAGCAGATTGTTTGGGTCAGGCGGCAGCAGCTGCGGCGGCGGCGACTGGCCAATCAGATCCGGCGATCCAAGTGTGCCCTGCATTTGTAGACCCTCCTCTGCCGCGAGAGGGAGCCGCTCGTAGGCGGCGGTGCCGAATGAAGCCGCGATTATAATGACGGGACCCGATGCTATGAGTGGCCCGACCACGCTCCCTCCAACGACCTGGCCCTGGCCCCCCGCCAAGTAGATGGCTAGGCCCGTGGCAGCCGGCGGGGCGGGCGGTGGCAGGAAGGATCCGGAGAGGGAGAGGATCTCGAACCGGCCGTGGAGAGTGACGACGGCGCCGGGGGAGGCCGGTTGGTGGAGAGTGACGTTGGTGACAGTGCCGCTGCCGCTGAGGACGCAGACTCCTCGCTGCCTGCGGCACGCGAAGGTGGCGACGCTCTCGCAGATGTCGTATCCGTCGGCGATCTCCATCACGTGGGACAGTAGCGCATTGGCGCTTTCTCGCGTGATGATGATCGGTGGCTTCGGTTTGTTCTTCGATCCTGGCGGGCGGCCACGTGGCTTGCGAATGATCTCCCGGCCCTCTGCACCACCGTTGCCGGGGGTTGCCAAAGGCGCCAGCTGCTTTCCGTCAGCGCTGTTCGAATTGTTGTTGCTGCTGCTGCTGTCATCGTTGTCACGTTTGTTGCCATGACGGAGGCTGCTCTGCTCTTCGTCCATCTTGGGCTGCTGCTGCTGCGGTTGGAAGGGTTGGAGTTGCGGCGGATGGTGGAGACGGTGGAAGTCACGACTGCGGAAGGGAGGGAGATGATAGCCATGCGTGGATGCTGTCATCGGATCCATTACCTGTGCAATAGCTCCCCTTCTGCACAAACCCAACACAACTTGGACGGGACGTAGGAATCGAACCGGTGCAAAAGAAGAACGCAGCAGGCCACGAAGAAGGAAAGGAAGGAAAAGTAAAAGATACGATAGAAGAATGAAGGCGATACGAGAGAGAGACAGAGAGAGGGAAAAAGAAGGAAAAGAAAGAAGCTAAGGCGGCCGTCTCTGTCAGTCGCCTCTTTTCTGTTCGCTCTCACCTTCTAGCACGCAATCGGAGCGCTGCTACGTGGAGAGCGGGAGCAACAAGCGGCTAATCCCCACTCACCCATCTCTTCCATCTGTGCTCATTCTCTTCCTGGCAAATTGGGTATATGTAGCTGCAATTGTTGCTACCGGAAGGGGTTCAGGAGGAAGACGAGGGACGCCTATCTTGTGGGCTCGTGATTCGTTTAGGGATCGAGTCAGCGTTTGGGTAGGTCAAAGCAAGGAAGAAGATGAATCCATGATAGGGCTCCGGTAGCACAACAACGATCGATCGTTCCCCTTTATTCCCCTCTCCCAACAACCCTACGGCCCTCTCTCTCCCTCTCCCTCACAACCATCTGCTGCTGCCTCCTGTTCAACCTGTTCGTCCGAGTGAGAAGGCTCCGTCTCTCCCTCTCTTGTTCTTATCGAGCCGAAGTCCTCCGACGTTTCATGGGAGGTTTAATCGGGCGCAAGGTCAGCAACGTCGACGTCAGATGAGATCAGAGATGCTGTCGTTGCTAGCTGCAGGCCAATCATTCAATGGCGCACCCACCCCCAACCCTCGAACTGCGTTTACGTTCCTACCCTTTCTGTTGCACGCGTGCTTCGCCCCGTCGTACTCTCTGCTAATCACTTGCCATGGGGGCCTTTTCGTCATTGTCGAGACAAACCAGGGGCAGGAGGACGCATGTGGTGCCCTTACCACGGTATGGCAATAAGCGGCAGAGGTGGTCGGGAGTTGTAGCTGTGGAGGAGCGGGGGCGAGGCCTGGAATCTTAGGAGGACCACCATTATTGGCGGTGGCGCCCACCACCCTTCCCCTGCCTCCCATCTCTTGGCGGCCATGACGTCTCAACCACAGCTCGGAAGCCGGAGACCGGCGTCGGTGCACGCGGAGCTTTGGTAGATGTGGTACCCGGAGCCTCCATCTCAGGTGGCAGATCCCGCACCCCGCTGCTGTTCTTTGCTCCCCCCGTCGGTCACGGTCGACGCGGTCGCCGAGGCTCGCTCGCGCCGCACGAATATTAAAGCCGGAAAAGAGAGATGGAGGAAGCAGTGTCGTAAAGCTCCACGTGAGTCATGTGGCCAGACATGGAGGAAGCAGTGAGCAAAGCGGTGGACGTGTTGATGTTGACGGAGACGGAGACGGATTACGACTTACCGTGTCAATTGCGTCCGAGAGAGGATATACAGGAAAGGCAGTGAGGAGAATCAACCATCCATTTTGAATGGAATCCTTTAATGCAGTGAGGATGCTGTATCAACGTCCATTGTCCCATAAACTAATGAAGCATGCGTTCGTGCATGCACCGAGCTGAACCC